CTTCAGCTTATTAGAGAAGTTTCAAGCTACTGTATCTCTTTAACAGGCATGAAGTAACCCAAAAATGCTAATGATGTTGAATACTGTGTTTTAACTATCGCAGGCAAGCGACTTTGAGCTGAAAGAATTAAAGCCCTTATGGTGTTTTACATTATGGTCTTCACTTCTTGCAAATGAAATGAGTTATAATTTAGGTGAAAGCAGTGCACGCATTTCTCCTGAAATGAGTGGCAACTGCTGCTAACTTTGTGGAGTGGTTCTGACACAGACTTGCAGATTTACAAATGATTTTTTTCTGTCTTTTCAGTGAACAGATCATCTGTACCACGGAAAACCACAGCGTGCAAGTCGCTTCCTAGCCATGTCAGTTCTCATCGCTAGCAAACCTAGTAGTAGTGTGTGTTCTATAGGTGAGTACCACAATTTAAATCACATTTGCTAAATAGGAATATGTGTTTTAGAAAAAGTTTTCCAGCATCTCACTTAAGAGTGTAATAAATTGTATTGCTTGCTAGTTTTGTGGCTTCTCTAAGTTTCTGATCATAAGAAAAATCGATATCTCATTTCTTCCATCAACCAGATGGATAGGCCAGGCAAGGGCTTCAGCCAAGGCTTTGTGCCACTGTGTCAGGGAGAAAACATGTTTTTCCTGTTTCAAGCTCTACAATTTACAAGTAGTTATTGAGAGCTTTGCAGCACTTTCTCCAGGTAAGATCTATCATGGTAGAGCTTTAAAGTCTTGCTGGCTCTGCTGTATTTCTTTAACCCCCGTCACTTGCCAAGTATAGTTATAAATTTCTAAAATGGATCTTACCTTTGAATGAGCCACTAAAAGCTAAGATTAGACAAGGAATGAAGGAGGTGGTCTGAATTTACAGCCAGTCTGACTTCCACTGATGCCTGCAAAAAAAAGGTGTCAAAACCCAGCAACTGCACTGTCAGGCCTTTTGATGAAATTGCTGTCCCTGTGTGCCTGTATGACACATCTCTTCAAAGCTGTTGCTGGACACCTTAGCAGAAAATCACCTGGCAAAGGTAGCAGTTTAGCAGTTTATGTGTTATTTTAACATGTTCCATGATATCCACAGAGCTGAAAAAAAAAAATTCTTCTAATATTGGAGACAGGTAGAACTAACACTGTTGCAAATAAAGGATCTTAGGAGTTAGATGAGAACTGAAGAAAGCGTATTTTTATCATACTCTCACAGATAATATTCAAAACATTATTAGTGAAGTTGTGATTATTTGTATAAAATATAATCAAAAAAGAATATTAAAAGATAATTGAACGTTGTAATTCCCAAGTGAATCAGTCAATGCATGGGAAAGCCAAAGAGGAATTATGCCTCTTAGCCCAGGTTGATCGTCCCACTCACAGTGTTTGTCACAGTATTTTCCTATAGAGAATGTCTGCTTGGCAAAGAATGCCAAGCAAAGCAAAGATTGAATTCTTTTTGCCCAGTTCATAATCTCTAGTAAAACCTATGTTTTAGTGAACTGAGCTTACGGAGAGTCTGTGCTTCTGTTTCTTCATAGTTATCTCACTGGCTATGAAACAAACGTATTAAAAACCGAGCTTTGAGAAAGCCAATGCCAGCATTTAGTATCTGAAGCACTCTTTGCTTGTAGGGCCTAATTCTCCAGTAACACAAGAAATTTAAAATTCAAATGCAGGTGCTCCATTTTCCACATGTCACTATCGGGAGAGCTACCAAGGCAGCTCAATTCACTCAAATCACAAAGGGAATTTGTGTGCAAATGCAGACCCTTCATATTCTAGTGGAGAGCAGCAGCATACAAACGAGTGTCTGAGAGACACTTTCATATTCAGCCCTCTGTGGGTACAAAACAGCCCCATCACTAACCCCACCGGCCGGGTCTTGCCTGAGCTTCACCACAGCCAGTTCCTACAGACACCAGGAGGACACGGAGGTCTCAGGGAGTTGTGATGATGACCCACAGAGTCTACGAGCCCTTGTGGCCTGAGCCCCATCACCCTGGACCCTCATTAGCACATTGGTATGTGTTTTATCCAAGTGCAACACGAGCACCTCATGGATTTGGCCTCTTGTTTCCCTTTGGATTTTAAGGCTAAAAATTTTAAAGGGAAACCAGGAAGGAAGCTCAAATCTAGGGCTATAACCCTATAAAGTCTCAGAGAATGGAACTCAATGAAAGTCATAGCAAAAAATGACAGTGCTTGATGACTGGACATGCCTACAAAACACAGTAAGGCTGCATACAAGCTCTTAAATAAATTAAAAGGGGCTAGGGAAGTCAGGTTTTGTTTTGCAAAAATAAATATATCAAGGCATGGATCCTTCTATTTTTAACTTCTGAAGCTCAGAAAATTCAGATAAAGGTTTCTATTTTAGCTGATTTCGATTGAAAGCACAAAATCAATGTTACCACATATCAACATACGCAAAGACAGAATATAATGTTCTTTATCTTTTGAAGTTTGCTTTTGATGAAAGTATACTGTATATTTCTTCTGGAAAGGGAATTTAAAGACCATTTTGTCAGAGAGGTCACAAGATGCAAAGGAACATTTGCAGAACTCGTTTTAGCTTGTCTAACTTAAAGACAGAAATCAAAGTTAAGAAAAGAGAACAAACTGTGACTTAAAAGCAATGCTTCTTCCTTTCCTGGCTGATTGCAGGCTCAAATTGCAGTTAAAATTCTCAGGAGATGTACAGATTGAGATGAAATATTGGGTTGGTGTACTGGTAGCATGGAGATCATAGCTATAAGCTATTTTTGTAAAGCATAAATCAGTGCCTGAACACCAAACCATGGGAGTTTAGTATTCAATTCATATATAATCCATGATTATAATTTTTTACTTGACGATATACCATCACTCATGCAAGTAGCTATGAGCTATTTTTTCCACTCATAACCACACACTTGTGTGCAAGGCAGTGACTTCTGAAAACTTCCAAGTGTAAATAAGAAAAGGGATATTTTTTGTTATTGGTTATTCTGGGCCCAGTTGCGAAACCGCTGCTGTTTGTTCCTCCCCACTATAACCCAGGGCACTGAACAGTTCTTTCCCAAAGAGCGTATTTTTTAATAAGGCAAGACAAGCACGGGCTCGCAGAAAGGGATGCAGCAGCCAAGAAGCGAGACTGAGTGACAGTTTGCAGTCAGCATGTTAATTCAGTTCTCTCTTTTTCTTAAGAAAACAACATGGTAAGCAAGGAAAAAGTACAGAGGCAGTGAAGGAGAATCCTGACAGAGCTCAGGCAAGTGACTAATTAGTATGGAGGAGGGAACGTCTGAAGTTCAGCGTGGTGTGACTTGTTTCCCAAACTGTTGGCTGCCTTGTTCAGTTAATTTTCAGCGTTTCTCACCATGTGCCCACATCCTCCAGCTTGCAGCTGAGAACATTGTATCTTTAATCGGGTTCTGTGGAGCCGGTGCCAGCACTTCTACTCTGGGCTCCCAGCTCGTCGGTGGCTCACAGATGTCTGCTGGCACCAGCAGCGAATGTGATCCTCACTGCAGGGCCCGCTGGGGTTGTCTTTATCCCGCTCTTCCAGGCGGAGCATGCATCTCTGATCTCCTCTGCTGGACGCTCTTCCTGTCCCACACCTACGTGGGTCAGAGCGTAGTGCGCCTATTCCATCCAAGGCACCTGAGGAGTCTCTCTGATCAGACTCACAGTGGTTTTGGTGGGGTTATTTTCATTTTTTTCATTTTTTATTTATTTATTTGAAGAAATGTGTTTTCCCCTTGGTGGGACAACGCAGTTGCAGCAGCTCTGCAGCCTGGAATTGCTGTGATAGGACAAAGAGCAGGAGACAAAGTGGGCTGTGTCTCACCTCTGTCATTTGTCTTTAGCCATGGGCAAGGTCACTAGGCTATAGTAAAATCTTGCCATCCATCCTGCATTGATGAATGAGAGCCCATGGTCCCAGCAGAGCTGCAGGACCTTGCTGCCCAGAGGATGGTTTCGCAGCAGGTTGCTTGTCCTGCTGCGCTCAGATCTCTCTGATACTTGTTGTTGTAGTCTTCCTATAGCACACTTTGGCCACCCTTATGCTGGCAGCACTTTTACTACCCACGACTAGTGGTTTGCTGTGGGCGAGTTTGCACGTCCCCTCTCGGTACTGTGCCCAGAAACCAAGAGCCGAGATGATAGCAAGTACACAGTGTATGTGAACACAGTAACCAAAACTGTGCCTTTGGGGATGCTGGTTGCCCAAAACAGATAATCACAGAATCACAGAATGGTTGAGGTTGGAAGGGACCTCTAGAGATCATCTAGTCCAACCCCTCTGCTCAAGCAGGGCCCAGAGCACGGGGCACAGGGCGGCATCCAGGCGGCTTTGGAAGACCCCCAGAGAAGGAGACTCAACAAGGAGGAGACTCTACAACCTCCCTGGGCAGCCTGTTCCTGTGCTCTGTCACCCTCACAGTCAAGAAGTTTGTCTTCAAATTCAGGTGGAAAACACTACAAGGAAAGTAGCAATGGTGAAATATGTGTAAGATGACTGTCAACTGAATTAAATAGCAGCCAGAGGATTACCAGGAGACTTCTGAGAGAAAGTCTCCTCCTGGAAACAAACTGAAAAGAAACGTGCAAGTGTGACAGGGACCAAAACTGAAAGAGAAGGGGGAAGAAAGAGAGCAGACCCCAAAACCAGGGCTGGCACTGCCAGAAGCCGCCCCCAGCACTGCTGGACACCATGAGCAGCCCTAATCTATTTAGTCTGCTGGAACTGAGGGGATGCAATACATAGGCACCCATGCCCTGGGGTGCCATGTGGCTCGTGAGGGGTATTCTCACCGGCTAGTCTGAGGGTTTAACTGTTGCGTTCCCTAGAGGGATCCTAAACACGAAGCTGATTTCCCATTAATTAAGTGCTGGTAATGAACAGACAGGGTTCTTGGATTGGGATAGGCCGTGGTTCTGGCTGCAGTGACCTCACAAACCCCAACACCACGGAAGCGTCCCCAAGGCTCCGGCAGCGCCTGACTCCTACTCGTCCCTCATGTCAACTGTGATATCAATTCAGCTGGTGCTGCCCGAGGACAAGGTCTACCTGGCAGGCTCCAGCATAGCTGGCCAACTGGTTCTGAAGCTTAGGAGCACCCTGGTGGACCCCGTGGTTAAGGTGGAGCTGGTGGGAAGAGGCTACCTGGAGTGGAAGGAAGAAGACAATCCCCACCTGGACTACAGCAGGAGCACTGTGTGCAGGAACCAGGCTGTCTTCATCTCCAAAGAGCATTATTTCCATATCAGTGGTAAGACTCAGGCACCAGTTAATGTAATGATAGCTTCGTAGTTGATGAAGATCAGTGTGGAGGAAGTCTTCTTTGTGCCAATGTCCATGTGCTCTGTTTCTGCCCTGTGACCTGTTCCCTTTCATTGCATTACACAGCAGCAGGGACCTTGGGATGAACCTGCAGGGTTTTGGTAGGGGATGTTGTATTTCAGAGCATGAGAAGTGCCCCAAGGGCAGTGGCTGAAGTGAATGGTGGTTGCAGGGAAAGCTACCATGGCCTCCTCGGTAGCATATAGAAAACCTCTAGTCACAATTACATTACTGAGTTACTCTTATCTAAATCCTTACCTGCATTTTTTTTATTGCCTCATATGCCACTGGTGATACAAGCCCTGTTATATTTGCAAATACATTAAGGAGTTACAGTTAAGGTTACTGCTGTAGGCTTGTGTCTTTACTGGGAGACAAGAAAAATCTGAGGCATGCACTGAAACTACCCACAAAAGTATGATGTTTTCAGTGAGGTACACACACCAAAATGCACACATATAAACACAGAGCTAGCCATTAAAACTTACAGATTTTTTATAAAGAATAAAGTCAGTGGCCTGTATGACATAAAATGTATTTATTTGCAGACCAGTGAATTATTCCAGGGAGTGCTATAGCAGTAGGAGGTCTCCAAAAAGGTGCACTTCCCTTCCTCACCCATCCTTTCTTAGGACCTGTGGGGAATCCTGGAGATCTAGTCTGCAGATCACAGGCTGAAAGTCATCACCCTTGTTTAGGTTAGTACTGAAGTTAGACTGCATGCCAAAGCGCAAAAGCTGCATTCAGGCTCCAAATGGCAGTGGTCAGCCTTCGTTTCCTCACAGACTTGAAGGCTCTGCCTTGTCCAAAGGTCATTTTTGCTTTTCACATGCATTGCAGCCTTAGCCTTGACCTTCTGCCGTCTGTAAAGTCTTCCTATAGACAAACTGATGTTGCAGCCCTGCAATATCTATTTTTTTTCTTTTCTCAGAATAGCAGAAGTGCTCTCACAAGTTCAAGATATCATATTAAAATATAAAAGATATAGACATGACCCTTCTTGCCCCGAGTACTCCATGCCCACCACTGAAGCTGGGGTATGAGAATATATATTTGAATAGGTTGCTGCATGTGTCAGCTTTTGACTTGCAGTTACTTGATAGCACCTTTGAGCTGGTATTTGACCTTACCACATGCCCTACTTTGGTCCCATCTTATGCCAATGTAAGATATGTGTACACTTGGATGGGGTTGCCTAACGGACATACTTCTTGGGAAGTATACTTCATAGGGAATTCAGTAACACCTCTCTGAAATTAAGGCTGCCTAAGGTATTGACTTGTAGCCCATTACTGACTATGACCAGTGACATCTCTAAGATTGTTAGAGCCGAGTTGCACTGCTACCAGTAACCATCCTCAGCAGCAGCAGCAACCTCTGGTCAGAGCAAACTCGCCCAGACCACTTCATGTGCTGCTTTTCAAGGCCAGTCACACCCCAAGAAACTGGTTATGTCCTTCACAGAAAGGTCATCCCTCAAGTCGTACCTGCCGACAACCTATTCACACTTTCTCAGAGCCACCACCATCATCTTGGAGCCAAGTCTGTCATGCGGTTCAGGAAGATAAAGTTTTGTGAGGCCACAGAGAGACTGGTTCTCCTGGGCTATGGGACTCATGTCCATGAGCAACCGAGAGGCAAGGCAAGTGGCTGCACCTCCACTTCCAAAGGGAACTCAGTGACACTGATTAAGACCACCATCATTCTTAGTTCGAGGACCGATGCAGGAGGTGAAGTGCAGTTTTTCAAGAGTCTCTTTATGAGTGATGTAAAATAAATAGGCTTAAAGTAAATTGGAGTAAGTATGTGTAAGCTTTTGCTGTATGTGAAGGCTGACCCACTTCAGTTCTGTGCACACAGACAAGCTCTTAAGGTCATATCTGGAGCAGAGATGGAGAAAACAGAACTTTTTGGTCAATCCACACACTGCAAAACCTATACTGCATCCTACGTGCCCTCCAGCAGGGGCTACAAGGCAGCCCAGTCACCCCAGGACCCATCCACAGATCATTCCAGAAGGCGAAGGCCTGTTTCTCTCAAGGTTAAATTGTACTTTTTCTTCCACTTTGAAGTCTGCTCCCACTTTAAAGTCTTCTATGGAAACAAGAACTTACAGAGAACTTGGTATAAGTGAGATAAGGCCCTGAGAGTTGCAGGTTTTTACAAACCATCAGATTAAAGAACATGACTTTCTTATATTGCAGTTATCTGAAAGGCTGATGAATTTTAGTTTCTTCCCTTTCAGTTTGTTTTAGGCATTTCTTCTCTTCAGAGTTACAATTCCAATTGATTGAAAACACTGTTACGCTGGCTGGTAAATCCTCCACAATGTGAGGAAACAATATCTGGGCTCTCCTGCCAGTAGGAACATCCAGTTTAGGTTATTAAAACTTGAGACAATGTAGAATTCATCTGCAAAGGGATGAAGTTAGCAGGACAGAAGTCTGGAAGTGTCACATGTCCTAGTGATATTGCTCAAACGAAGGTTTTGGCATAAGGTACTAGAAGAAAAGAAAACCCAAGTTTGGACAACAAAAATGTCAGCAGATACACGTAATGAGAACAAGCAGATCTTGGATGATGGAGAGTCAAGAGCTGGACTGATGTGGACAAAGGGGGCATGTTTGTCCCTCCTAAGTGGGGACAGTCTTTCATTACACAGAGTGGGACCTCACCCACATAAAACTGAATTTGACCAAAAGGAAATAGGAGAGACCTTAGAAGAAATGGACTCACAGTTATGCAGAGGAAGGACCAAATGTTATTTTTATTGCATACGGACTATTTTGTACAAGTATTTAACAGACTCCTAGTAACATGGTGTTATCTGGTTTTCAGATGGCTGGCTCGATTCTGGGGTCCACACCTTTGACTTCAACTTCAGCTTTCCTCCGGGTCTTCCCTCGACATTCACCAGCAAAATTGGCTTCATCTCATATTTTATTCAAGGGACATGCAGTGGCCGTGAAATTGTGTTAGCTAAAGAGAAGAAATATTTACTGCTGCAAGGAACCTTTGGCAACAATGAAGCAGATGTGAAGGACATGGTAAGGAGAACAGCTGAGGTGGAGACACATCAAGCTACTGCTTTTTTCACTTTAGAAAGACACCACCGAGTGTCCGTGAATCTTTAGTTCCAGCTAAGCCATCTTCTTCCTTTTAGTGACCAACTGACACCTTCAATATGTTCTGCCATCTTTGTCCTATGTTTGCACCAGAGTGTTTCTTTATTAGCACGTAAGATGCATTGTAAAAGTTCAAAAGTAATATGCGGGGCATGCCTTAAGATCCAAGATGGGGGAGGTGGGAGGTTATTTGCCTTCTCTGAAGTCTAAGTCCTAAAGCAACCTTCACACCAGAAAGTCCCTTTTTCATGTAGGCACTTTTGGTCTACCTAAGCTGGCACAGTCAGTCAACAACCATCAAGACAGTTAAAACATACTGATTTTAACCATTTTGTGGCCTCTGTCTAGTTTTGGGTGTGAATGGTTAAAGGTGGTGAGGTTTATGTGTGCACATACATATCACTGCCCAGATGCTCAGGATAGTTCAGCCGTGTCACATTCCATGCAGCAATGAGGACTCTGCTGCATGTGGACAGCAGGGCCCGCTGGGAGGGTTGAGCAACCTCAACTGTGGTACAGGGAATTTCTGCATATCTAACACCAAGAACTCACTGTGCTTTGCCTTTCTCTCCCACCTTTGTGCAGGATCCATTGGTGGTGGAAACTAGGAAAGATGCAGTTTACCTCTGTTGCTTCGGTCATGGCTCTGTGGTCCTTCGGATGTACCTGGAGAAAAATATATTTTCCCCTGGTGATCACATTGTCTTTGTGACAGATATTTCCAACAGGACATGCAAGTACATCAGAAAGGTAGTTTTTGCGGTGCACTGCATTGTGCTGTACAAGGGTGTCAACAACCGAGGAGAGCAACGCTCCTTGGAAGACCGAAGTGAGGTGACAAGGCTGGAGTCCCGGACAAACACAGGCCCCTTCCAGATCATGCGAGTCATTGGCACGCTGGTTCTGCCGAAGCCGCTGCCCATCACCAGCACGCGCATGGAAAATGAAATCATGTCATTCAGGTATGAGCTGGTAGGAACTTCTAACCTTCCTTGTACCCCATCCACCATGGTGGGCAGGTTGCCCATCATCGTAGCACTGCCTGAGATTGCCTATGAGGAGCAAAGCATGGGAAATCCATGTGAAAATGAAGGAGATAACTCGGAGGGGAATGACCTTGACAGAGATGTTCCTGAGAAGGACGTAGAACCAAGTGATAGTGAATCCAGTGAATAAAGGATTTTTTTTCTGTGTAATTCATGCACACTAGCTGTCTGCTTTCACAGGACGAGCCTGCATTTACATAGATGTTCCAGTGATTCCCGAAACAAGATGGCGATAGACAGCACCTAGCTAGAGGACACAGTTTGCATGCCCAGAAAATGGCCATTCTCCCCTACCTGGCAAAACAGACAGTATGCAGAACTTAGTGCAGGCTGCATGTGGAGAACCAGAAATTTGAAGACCATCTGCAAGATGAGCAGGGCAGGCAAGACCTGCAGAGGCATGAAGGGCCTGCAGGAGCTGCTCCCACCAGCTCCTGTGGCAAAGCCGGCTGCTGGAAGGGAAGTGGGGACCGGGAAACCTCAGGCTGAGAGGGGCAGCCAAGCAGCCAGGGATATGCAAAGCCTGTGTCTGCCAATCCAGCAAGTAGGAGCATGTCCTGCCTCCCTTTGCCCCTTTCCTTTGCTCTGCAGTAGAATTCAGGCACTCAGCCTGGGCACAACTAGCACAAACCCACGTTGTTCAGGTTATTCATTCAGGCTGTGGCCCTGGGAAAGCTGCTGCCTGGGAAGGAGTACGAGCAGCTTCTGCTGCCAGAAGGATGCTAAAGAGGAAGGGGGAAATGTACTTGGAACGGACATTCTCATAGCTGCTATTTTTCCAATTACTCAGTATTGCCTCTGGAATCAGTGGCTAAGGTCACCAGCCACTGTTAGCTACAGGAGCCACCCCAGGCCAGCTCCCAGCAAAGGGGCCCTTAAGCTGAGTGGCAAGGACACTCTCAAGAAACCTTCTGGAAGCCCCAGCATTTTGCTGGTCCTTGCACAGCTCCAGCACCCAGACAAGGTGAACAATTGAGCACAACATGGCAGAACTGCAGAGGAGTTGCAGCGTTTGTGTTAAGGCTGTGGGGTTACTGGAGAGCAATGGTGCAGCAGTGCCACAGGGCTGGTTGGTTCTGGTAAGGAGTCTCTGCAGTTTGCATGCTCCTCTGTTGATTCCTGAACCCTTGCTTTGCTCACAACCCCCCAAAACAGAACTCTCTTTGTCTTGGTTTTTAAATTTATACTATTTTTAGACTAATATTGAACCACATCAATGCACAAGATCTGTAAGCAAACTTGCTCTGGAATCTCAGGGCAGGCTGCAAGAGCGCCAATGTTTCATACTTTGACTTCTTCTGTTACTACAGCCACACTTAAGATACTGTATTTTGTCTCATTATTAACAATCACCGAAGTGGCACCAGCCACTTATACAGCATGTGGGAATTACAGTATTTGCTCACTTTCTGCTCTGCCTCAAGTCACATGAAGGTGTGTCCCTTATAGGCCACTGTTCCACTGATTTGGGTGATGAAATCTAATCCACCTGTGAGAGAATCACCATCACCACTGCTGCTGGCCTCCATAGGCACCTTCCTTCCATGGACCAATGGACAGCGCACATCGTTAGGCGCTGCAGCTGAGAATCACCAAGCGTACATTAGCCAAACATTCAGGAAAACACAAGGCCCACTTCTTGACTCTGGTCCCTGCGGGAAGCCATTTCTTAAGACTTTCAGGAGACAAATAAAAATACACGCTTTCCCCTTCATGCATCCTAACCACAAAAGCCAAACTACAACACGTGATAAGCAGTGTAGGACTCACCGCAAGACACTGAACACTTCAGAATGGCCATGTATTCTCAGAAGAGAACAAGAGGTCTAAGAAACCACCTATGCCATGCCTTGCCAGGAAATTTGTCAGGTGAAAGCTTACCAGGTGATAATAGGAAGTGAAATGAGAACTGGTGGAACATCCTAAACCAAACATAGGATGTTACCTTAGCAAAGGACAAGGAAGAAGAGTATGTGTGCAATTCATATATGGAAGAACACAAAATGTTCCTGATAATTATACATTTTCCTTGGAAAGATATGGGAAAGCAGATGTCTTTATTTTGAGGCATGAAGGAGAAAGACAGTCATCTTTTGGGTGATATTGTTGGTTTCATATGGGAGTTGATTACATAATGATAAATCTCCCAGCACCACGACTGAATGGAGTGTTGTAGCTAAGTTTTGGACAACTGATGCCAAAGACGAAGAGAGATATTGCCTTCACCATCACCTTCATTGGTAAACATGGAACAGCTGGAATTAGATTATTTTTGTGGATGATGAGGAAATCGGTCAAAGGTTTATAGCTATCCTTTTAGTGGAAGAACCAGCAACACCAGGGATAGCCAGTCTATTAACAGTGTTTATTAAGATTTAGGAGACAGTTTGAAAGGATGATATTGGGCTAATGCCATAAAATTTGGTCTAATTGAATTACAGTATATTGTATAGGGGAAACTGATGTTAAAAAGACTAAAGTAAAAACCTGGCCATCATTACTGTTAGGAAAAGAAAGATATGAAGTATAAATGGGCCCTCCAGGTGACTATATTATTCAAATGAAGTTTAACAAACTTTGTGAACAATATTCTGTTAGGATCTCACAATCTCACAAAGATTAGTTTTGGGCACGATGAAAGGTCATGGGAGTTAACCAAAAGCAGAAAACTTTTCAGTCACCCAGGGGGTTTTGGAAGGTCTTGATACAGAAATCCAAGTGAGAAGTCTTCAAGCCTGGTGCCAAGATTTAGTAAGATTTACAGACACAGGAACAGAATCAAGCAGGCTTATTTTGCAAGAAGGTGTGAAAACTATCATTTTAATTGGAACAAAAAATGTTTAATGACACTACTATGGCAGCTTGCCACTACTTCAGCAGCTTTTAGCTTGGCAAGAGCACTAAATGATTCCTTTAAGAATTTAACATATTATAATATGACAAACAATCAAATTGCTTGACCCATGATCTGCAACGGTGCAGTGTTAAACCCAGCAGATATGTTATACAACAAGTTGATATGATTAGTTTCGGCAATTATGAGATGTGTGGGAATAGATAATGGCAATGTCCATAAACAGTATTAAAAACAAGACCCAGTATCGATGTGCATTGGGATTTGGTTTTGGTTCAAGTGTCAGTGTCTGAAATTACGGCAGAAGTAATACTTGTGCAGGAGTAATATCAGGATTTGTATTGCAGAGAGATAGGGACAGTATTAAAGGCATAAGGTGTAGGAATAATATAAGATGATGGGTGATGATGATAGGAACAAATAGAAGTGTGATTGATGGGCGTCTGACCCCTCCACTGAAAGAAATAGCATGCAACATGGAAACAGGTCTGTTGGTTGAACTGAACTTATGGTATCTCCAATGCAGTGATTCATTCTCATAGAGCACTGCCAAGACAGTGTCAAAAGAGCCATCTAGAAAAGTAAATGCAACACGGGATCTTTTAATAGCACTTTGACCAGTGAAAGGGATGGCGTTTGGATTTAACATATTTTTTTGAAGTACTTTTGAATCCCGAACTATGAATTGTAGCAGAAGTTGGAAGGTACATAGTGTTGATAAACATGATTCTGTGCTGAATTAAAATGGAATTTAGGGCTTGCATATGCAAAATTACTGCAAATTAATTGTGAAAATGCTTAAGTCTTGTTCTAATCAGGCTAATGATCAAGGGATTGAAGATGAGGAAGTCTGCAAGAATCCTCTTGGTAGCATGCCCAGAGGACAGGGAGGTGGGTGTACTCCGTATGCGTTGAATACAAAATCCCAAACTGGGCTTTCAGAGGCAGTGGTTGCCCCAAATCAACAGTTCTACAAGCAAAGCAAAGCTGACTTAAGATTGCTGAATTTAACTTAAGATGACTGCCAGCATGGGATGCCATTGGCATTGGTCTGTAGAGAGCAATGTGGGGACACATGGAGAAGGTACACCCGCGCCCGGAGGGTCATGCCGTGTGGGACTCCTGCTCCTGGGGAGTGGGTGTGCGTATCACTCCCGTTACAACCACAGGTCCATCCACACCTGTGTGTGTGTGTGTGTGTGTGTGTGTGTGTGTGAGAGAGAGAGGAATTAGTCATAAAAGTGTTTGAAACCTGCTGGTGTTCATGAGCACTCGGTAGAATGGCTGATGCTGGGGTTTACGTGTTATGGTGCTGGGGTTTATGTGCTGTGCTGTGTGTCATTGACACACACACACACACACACACACACACACACACACACACCCATACACACACACACATCTCACAACATCCGCCCCTTCAACACTTCCTCATTTAGAGCAAAGAAGCTGGTGAAGGCGCTGGAGCACAGAACTTACCAGGAGCGGCTGCAGGACCTGGGGTTTTCTAGTCTGGAGAAGAGGAGACTCAGGGGAGACCTTATCACTCTCTATAGTTACCTCAAAGGAGGTTGTGGTGAGGAGGAGGGGGTTTCCAACCTTAATGGTTCTATGATTCAATGCTTTTCACATACATTTTCAGCCATCAGCCACCCAACTAGGCTTTTGCACGTCCCCAGTTTCTTCCCCATCTTTGCAGGTGCCTGGACTGGTTCAGTGCATGGACAGAGTCTGGACTGCTCATGTGGCACAGTTTGCCACTCTCCATGCACTGACTGTGCACACACAGATTGACACTGATTAGCAAAGCACCCGGCCGGGGTGCGTGGGTAGGACAGAGCTCCGCGCCTGTCACCGTGCTGCTGCTCACGCACGCCTTTGCCAGCCCAATGCTCTCCCTCACCTTGTCCCTAAAAACAGCATTTGTCACACTGACATGGCAGGGCCCTTTCCCTTCTCAGATGAGACCATGCATCAGGGCGCTGCGTGCAGAATCCCATTACAAATAGATTGTTGTTTTACAGGTCTCCCAGTGTTATCATTCAAGCAGGAATTAATGCACTCGCAGTGTACATGACAGGAACATGTTAGAAGAATATTTTCCACTACTTGTCTTTTGAATTTGAGCACTGCTTCTCAGTGACATTTGATATAGCTGAAGGAAAAATGCAAGTGGGTGTAAATTCTGAAGTTGCCATCACACAAATGCTGGCAGTGCTTGCATTTGCTGTTAAAAAGAAGTTAACTACTTGCTTTTGGTAAAAGCTCACTTGCAA